ATTAACCCAGTCGATGCCAGGCTGATTATTTTTGAAGGTGGTGACCTCCTTGCCACTCTTATTCAAGAAGTCCCTTACAATCATTCGTATCTCAAGATGGGTCAGAGGGCACCCCCAATCAGCCAAAACAACTACGTTTTGAGCAATGATCCTTCCTTCATGCGCAAGAAGTGATGTTGGGTGCCCCATATAAAGAAAGTCGTGAGTTGCATTCCCTGCAGTCCTGTGTTTTTCAACGTATCTATGCAGCGTATTTCGGGGCACATTATGTATTTGCGCTGCATCTCTAATGGTCATGCCATCGACAATTACACTGTCTACTGCCACCTTCATATCAGCAGTTGTATACGATTTCCTTCGTACAAGTTTCCCTGTGGGCTTATAATGTCTCACCATTTTAATAGGGTCAAGTGAATTTTCTATAAGAGAAAAAGATCATAAAAAACCTGAAAAATAAAGGGATCATTTAGAAACAAGCATGATATTTTTGGAGAAATAGATCATAATTTAGGTAATGTATTTTTCATTCTATGTTGCCTGGTGCACAATTCTGGCTATGAAATGAGAATTCTTATTTACTGAAGCCTTTGCTAACCAAGGTTAGCTGTGAACACGTTTTTGGGGGTGCCCCAAATAGGCCCGGGGGGGGGTGTCCCGAGTAGCCCCGCCGTGCGGGGCTACTACTCTAGCCGCCATTTTTTTGGAACGAGATAGGCAAATTCCGTCAATTACATTTTCAAGCCAACACCTGGGTGCAACTTTTATGTAAGTAAAATTTTTTAATATGGCAAATATTTTTTTTTGCTCCAGACCTTAGCAGAAGTAACTTTTCAAAATAGCATTTTTCACCATTTTTTCAGGAATTTTTCAAAGCTAGTAAATGTAGTATTTTTTGACTTCCTTTATACTGCATAGATAGGAAAAATGTTGACATTTACCTACGCCACTATATTTAGTTTTGCAATATTCCCATTAGTTTTGCTACTAAAACAGTTTTATGCTGTGTTGGAGTACTGTTTCCCGGTAACATTACCCGGTTGATGGTAATGACATTATTGACTCAAGTTTGTTATAAGTGTGGTAAGAGGAAATATATCCAAAAATATTCATCTATTTATTTAATGCAAAGCCTTTTTTTAATCTAGATTAGTACTAATGAGAATTTTTTATATTCACTATATTTTCCAAACTACAACAAGCATTATGCATCATAGTTTCTCCTGAACTAATGAAAATGATTTTTAGGGCTGAACTTTGGTTTTCCCTGATTAATTGCAAACCAATTTGCATTGAGCATGGTTTTTAAATATAGAATGGCATGAGATCTGGAGTCTTATTGCCTGAAAGCTCAACACATGTCACTCAGGCCAAGACTTATAAATCAGCAATCAATTTTATGACACAGAAATTTTGGTCACAGGCATCAAATTAGTCTTCTTTTTGCTTATTACCTCAAGTTCAATAGTTCATAAGATGCCGCTAATACTTAATAAAGGATTACTTATAGTTAAAAAATTATGTGTAATTCTTATGTTTAGTGTAAGTATGTTCATAAAAATATGTGTCTTTACTCTATGAACTGTAATTTTCTTTACTTTCTGGATGTGAATATATCTAAGCTTAGTTCTATAAATTTAATGTTAACTTGCCTCACATTTCAGCTTTCATTTTTTCCAGTTTATGATACTAATTTTTCAAATTAGATTCTTGTGATCAGAGTTTTTTTGCAAGATGTTGCAAAGCCCAGATAAAGCTACTTTGCTGATTAATTCTGTTCAGCTTTGTAGCATTTGTGCTGCTTCCAAGGCTCGACATGCAGCACCAATCTTTATCCAGCAGACACCAGCACCAACTTTCTTTCAACAAGTATTGCTTGGTATCACCAAAAAAAAATCTTCCAATTTTATGTCTTTGCTTACATCTTTAAATGATGATGTAGACAGAATGAAAAAATCATCCAATAAAGTTGTCCAAAGTCATGCAAACAGGAAAGCTTTCACTTGGGTCAGAAAGAGTTTGAAATCATGCTCGCAAGATATTCCATATCAATATGATGCTTTTCCTTGTGAACTTACTATAACTGACTCAAAAAATGACCTAGATATGCCTGACAAAGATCTTATAATAAATTTTTTGTGCAAAAATTGCGAAGTGCTCCTTCGGAAATATAGCAAGTATGAACAACTCAGTGAACAGATACTGTGTAATATTTTGAAAATAATCTTCAAACCATGGCTATTTATTGAAGGCTCCACACTTCCAGATTCTGATGTACACAGAGTTTCTGAGGATAAGCCAAATCAAAGAGACATTGTGGAGACGAATAATGGGCAAGTATCACCTTGCAATGCTTCTAGAGCTGGGGCCTCTCTTACTGAAACTATCCCAAACCGTAAGCGAGGGCGGCCTAGAAAGCACGAATTTCAGACGAAGAAGACTTCGGAAATAGTTTCTTTTTCTGAGACTTCAAAAAGTACCTGCCCTTTTTGCTTTAAATCGTACTCTATCGTGCATAGTACTGTGCACAATTGTTTACCATATCGAAACAGCCTACATTGTACCACATGTAATGTCTTTTCATCATCTTATGTAAGGCTTGAAAAACATCTTGAAATCTACCATCGTCAAAAAAAGCATCTCTTGTGTGATGTAAACAGTTGCAATCAAAAGTTCATTTCACAGCCCGCGTTCACTTGGCACAAGCATTTCCACATGCTTGATAAGCGATCTCATCAAATGAACGATTTGACATCGATTGAAATGTATTCAAATGAATCTAAGAACACTGTAAATGATAATATGTACTATAGTTTGCTGAAATTTAGTGATGAAAATGTGATTGAAGACGAATGTGTGAGATCACAAGATATTAAAGCTCACAATTATGACAAAGACAAGGCAGAAACATGCAAGGAACGTCCTGGCTCTGAACGTGAAGTTTCCTTGGACTCAAATGAATCTGTTTATTTGCTATTGCCAGAAAATGGAAGTGAAATTTCTGTGAGTAACCTCATTATTGGCCGTGATGGTTGTGATGCGTCGTCTTTACTTTCTGGACGTGATTGGTCTAACTTGGAGGACGCCAGATGTCAGGGTGCCGACTCCAATAACTTCAGTTCAGAAGTAATCAAAATAGCCTTCGATCTTTCCAATGGAACTACTTTACCGGCGGTTGATGAAGCTAATTCCCAAAGAGATCATATGTCCTCCGACTTATCACAGAAATTCAACGATTCCCCAGAAAGCTTCACGTTGACCTCGTGCCACGTAATTTCTCGCTCCGTTGCCGACGTCACTTCTTGCGTTTCTTGTGACGCTGGAAGCCTCGGAGACAACGCTGAGAAAATTACATGTGCCGTGTCCACAAGTTCATGCAATGTTGGTAACGAGCGTGAACAGGCTGTTAAAGTTGAGATCTCTGGTAACGACGATCATTTCGAACAGCAAGATCGTTTGGTTGAACATATATGCACCAAGCACCGAGTTGGTGAGCAGGAGTTTGAGTGTCCTGTATGTGATAAGCCTTTTCACTCCATCCCTGTACTTATTAGTCACCTCAACCAGCACGATGGCACCGAACTATGTAAATGTCTAATTTGTTCTTCTAATGTTCAAAATGAAATGATAAAATCGGGGCATTGTGTCGCCGAAGGAATTGAAATAAGTAATTCTATTTCTGTTCCAATGTCATTTGAGCCTTCTCATCAATTTCTGCCCCTTAATCTGGTTGAGCAACAGACAGAGAAAGGTCTATCTAAGGACTATTCCTATGCCGAGATTGAATCAAAGTTAACAAATAATCAGGATAAAAACGGCAGCTCATCATCAAATCTTCTGGTTCAATCACGAGAATTTTTTTCTAATCACAAGATTAGTTTTTGTGATAAAAACAATGCTCTGCTCGATTCTAATCGCATTTCGTATTCCTACGAACTGAACAAACATTCAAGTCTTCATTTAGATAAAACGGTATTCAATCTATCTACAACCGGAGACACTTACACATCTTCCTCCGTTTGCTCAGACTCTGAAGATCTATATAACAGAGTTGGAACCTTCATGAGCGTCGACAATGCTAGCACCAATCCCCGGACAATGAAGAAACACTTGCCATCCAGCCTCCCTCACTACCGCAGCAATAACCCCGTGTTGTGCTACCACAATAGCGGGACGAGTCACTCCTCACAGTCAACTTCAGCACCGTCTGCAGGAGGCGACTGCGTGCAGGAGTTGGACGAGCAGCGTCTCTCATGCGACACATGCGGGTCTCTCTTCTCAAGTCACTCGGCACTGAAACGCCACACTCATGTATGTCAGACAATGGGGGATAAACTGGACACACCTTTTCATGATGTATCCGACAACTTTTTACCTGCAACTGAAAACTTGTCGGTTGTCAATGCGTTGGAAAGCAGCAGCGGCAGCGTCCTCACTCCCATCGAACGACTCATTGGAACTGTCGATGATATGGATTACTTCAGCTGAGATTTTTACTGATTTCAAAGATCAGTATATTTCCCATATCAATTTTTTTCCTGTCAGTTTGTTTTAACGTTTCAAGAGGTCTATATAATTCTTCTCCTCGATCATATTATCCGTTGATGCCATGCATTCCTTAGATTATCTAGTTTACTAATTTGACGACGTGCTAATGTTACAGAATATGAGCATTCATGGTATTATGGATGTAGCTCGCATTTCCGCAGTTATTATATGAAGTGAATATTAGCATCACAAAGAACAGTATACGTGAATAAATTCAATACCAGTAAAATTGATTACTTTTAGGTTCTTTCTTTGCCCTTAGTCAATTGACCAGTAAGTAAAATAACTATTAGAATTAATAATAAGATCGATAAATATTTTTCCTGACATGCATATAGGACGATGCGTCTGAAGTAAAAGGATTTATGTGACGCTTCTAACGGCCCTCAAAACCCTATTGCCACTGAAAGAATATTGTTCTTTTCCTTCTATAGCTGGTCAATGAAAGATGAAAATATTGAAAATAATATATCATCAAAATTTACACCGTGTCCTCTTGTCTTGTTTAACAATGAAAAACCTCTATTGTCAAGTTTCAAGAGCAAAGATTCTTTGAAGTCCACTAGATTTCCTAAGAGAAGGAGCTTTACTCAAAGTTTAAGCTTCATGCCTTTGAAATCATTCGACACCAGAATACATTGTGATAACAAGGACCAGCTAGATTGAAAATTAGAGCACTTTTTTCAGTTGATAAGAGTTTATAAAAAACGATCTTTAACTTAAAGCTTAAACTTGAACATCAACAAAATTATTAATTTCTAGGGTATTTACATAGCTTATGCAATCTAATTAAAGTCGAACATTTGTCATACAGAAGACAAATTAAACCTTTATGATTTTTTCCCAAACTCGATGATAAGAGGCTTGCCTTTTAGTCTGAAACCTTGGCAGTTGTCCAAGGCTTCAGTGGCAGTGGCAACGCTGCTCAGCTTTATGAAAGCTTGGCCTCTCATGCGGCCCTTCATTAACCTGTACGTCGACCTGACTGAACCATTGTCAAAATTACCAAACAAGGAAGCCAGGTCTTGAGGAGTGACCTTCTTGTGGAGATTTTTTAAGTACAGAATATTACTGGGGGTTCCACGCACGTGGTTAGGGAAGGCTTTAAGGATTTCCTCAGTGGACGCGCAGTGCTCTTTAATTAGAGACACTGGGAGAAGTTCATCACTCTTTGGAAGCAACACAAATTCCTTTGAAACAGCTTTCCTCTTTGTTCCTGAATCACATAAAGCTGCTACGACATCCTTGTCAGGAAATGTACTTTTTTCATTGGTTTCCTTGACGTCCCAAAGAGTCTTTCTCCTCGAATGATTTGGACTCAAATCGTTATACGAGTTAATCCCATCTGAAAGTTTTTCATTGGTGTCTTCAGAGCACACAGCAGAAGCATAACATTTTACACCACTACTATCGCAGTCAATGCTCAAGTCATTTTGTTGCACGCGACGCTTCTTAACTAAGAGTTGTTGTTCAACATCAGCAAGATGGTTCAGAGGATGCTCAGGATGTATTGCTGGTCGCCTCTTGGGCTTCATGCTGACAAATGCATTGCCAGAGAAGTTTGCACCCAACAACCGTTGCTGACACTGGAGCTCTCTACCCACCAGACCGTCTCGAACTGCAGCCTCAAATTCTTGTCTGCCTTCAAAGACAACACTCTCTTTGAAGCGCTCAAGCGGAGATAAAATCGGTTTTGATAACTTCTCAAGTAAACATGTAAGTTTCTCTGTATAATCCCGCTGATTACCATCCACCCCAGGTTGAGGCCGTTTATTGCTGAACAAGTTCATCAAAATGTTGATTTCCTCTTGGCCGACACCCATTTCAGACAGTGTACGTTTTGACTTGGAGGATGCAAGCATTTCCTTTAACACAGCACAATCCATCAAACCAGAAACATTCTGATGATTTGTGTCATCTTGAGCACTTGATGAGGCAACAAAGTTTTTACTTTTTGTGTACGAGTTAACATCTGAAGGTTTCCGATAAAATTTCTCTAGACATTGCTGCAGGATTTGTTCTTGAACAGTAGTTCTTGAAGCAGAGATAATTGCTTCATCACAAATTTCATTCCTATAGCGATGAAAATCGGCTGACGAATAATTTATTTGTGCCATAATTCACTGTGGTTTGTTACAGTTCCCAATGTGAAATGAGAGCTTGAATTTACAATTGGGAGTGTCACTTAGTCACAGGCTAACACCATGCAGGATTTTCCACGTAACACCATTTAGCCGATGTTTGTTCGTGATTTCTTCTGTAGGTATCAACAGTTTGATGGGAGAAGAATTCAAAGAACTTCAACAGCAACACATTCTTCATCTTGTCTCGAATGATTTTCATTTGAAACTTATAGAACTTTCAACAGTCACAACTCTCAGCTTAGGGCAAAGCAATTCAAGGCATGTGACTGTTCAAACAATTCAACAATTGATTGAAATCATCAGCTCATACATTGGTATTCCAGTTACTGCCGTCTTCAGGTGTGAGTGAACCTGTAACCAGCAGCACAATATCCACGACCCACCACACGCCAAAGCCCCCAAGAGTGAGGAGCTTGCCCACTGCAGTGCCTGTCAGGCCAAGGCAGAAACGATCCAGACCTAGGAACCCCAGCAACAGGCTGTAGATGAGGGTGGTTGTGAAGTGATGACCACTGTACCTGCACATAAATCAATTTGAACAATCAATATTTACACAAAGCAGATCCAAGGTAAGCAGTGAGCAGTAGACTGTATTTCTTGATAAAGTTTTTTTTAAACTTGTTATGCTTAATAATGGTGCAAGGTTTTATCAGAGGAAGTTATTTTCATTTACAGTTTTCAATGCTAAATATGCCAGTTTAATTATAAATCACTGAAATTAGCCTAAAAAGAAATGTATTCTTTAAATGAATAAAATATAATCTCAATACACACTTTACACAGGGCTTGCCATGACGCAGGAAGGAGCGGGAACCACAACACTCTATGCCTTCAAGCACCCGACATGTGACAGCTGTGTGCTCCACATCCTCAAAACGCCAACCTCCAAACTGCACAGTCATAAGCTTGAATTTATTATAGTGCAAAATACCAAAAAAATGGTTTATAGAAAATTAGAACATTTAAAATGATCTAAAACTGCAAGGCTATGTCACCATGAGAAATACCACATAAAAATTATAAAATTTTCAAGTACATCAGGGCCTGACATTAATATCCTAAGATAAATTTTTGTGATAGTTACAAAAAAGATGCTCTAATGATTGATTTGCTATCTATCTATCAGCAGGATACTTCTAATTATTCTCAACATATAATAAAAATTCATCCCCTAGAACTAGATGGCTTAACTCACTGGGTTGACTCTGGCCAAAAATAAATAGTATGAAAACAAAATGGTTTGTATATATAGAACCCAAGATGTTCCTTATTGAAATTACTCAAAAGTGGTGATATGAAGTTGCTAGCTATAGCTATGCTACAACATACATACCTATATGTTACATTAATGTTAAAGAACTAAAATGTTGCAACCTATCAAAGAATTGCTAATGTGAGAAACTTCAAGATTGAACTTCATCAAAATAATTTGGACATTATTTGAAATTATAACATTACATTAATAATTCCAAAGTAGCTGGCAAAACTAGTGAAGTTTTATTCAAGTCAGTAGAACTTGTAACACATATTTTGACTATGAAGATCTTTATATTGACTTGCCACATATTAGGAAGCATATATATACATTGTACAACAAAAATCATCAGATCAAGTTCAAAAGAAATTTGGCTTTGTTAAAGAGCATGGATGGAATGTTGAATCATATATTACAGCATCAATACTCATAAGATATTTAAATGCTCCAAAGTGTCAAGTTTTGATGGCACTCATATGAGAAGTTAATTTATTTGTGTTACTGAAACTTTATTATGTCCTGTATGGTGGCTGCCAGAGGAGAGGCAAACATGATTTCAAGTTGCCAAGAATAGCAAACTTTATAACAAGAATTGTGGTAGCCAACCTTAGAGCATCCATAGCCTTTTACTTCTTGTTCAGTCTTGTTCCCTTTTAGATCTAGTGGTGGGTCACATTCCAAGAAGCTTTCAGGCCTGCAGATAAAAAAAAAAAAAAAACAGTAGTAATTCTTGCAGTATGAGCTGACATGGTTAACATAAAAGTCCATTTTAGTCATACATACACTAAGAACAAACCAGTCTATTAAGGTCATGGGACAAGTATAGACAATAAACTTTCATAAATTTTCTGCAGATACACACAAATCTGTATCTACTGCCATTTTTGTTTAGGATTGTTCATTTGCATTAATTGTATTACATGCTGATCAAAAATCATGGTAATACTTTAGATTAAGTGCATCCAAAAAAAGGGTGTTTTTTTTTAATTATATGTTTTTTGGGGTGTGGATAAAGAATCTGAAATCCGTTTTTGGCGGTCGGCATCGGAAAACCGATTTTTTTCTCCGAGGCTCTAATCATAAAAAAAAATCAGGCAAAAATTGGCAAAAAAACCTAACCTAACCTAACCGTGATTGCAATGTCGTGGTTGCAAGAGTATTTGCCAATTTTTATATAATTTCTAAGATAAAATGCAAGTTAAATCTTGGCCCCAATATCCATGGATTTATAGCATTTTAAACTTAGCCTTGGTGACCCATATACTCTTGCAACCACGACATTGCAACCACGGTTAGGTTAGGTTTTTTTCGCTGATTTTTGCCAGTTTTTTATGAATTGGAGCCTTGGGGGGGGGGGGGGTTTGGTTTTCCGATGCCAACCGCCAAAAACGGATTTCAGGTTCGTAATCTACACTCCAAAAAACATATAATTAAAAAAACACCCTTTTTTTGGATGCACTTAATGTAAAGTTTTACCTTAATTTTTGACATTACTCATGTATTAAAATACAAAAAGATTGCATTATAACATGCTAAATTATCTCCAGCCTAATTTGATATGAAATGTTTTAGCATTTTACATAAAGCTTTTTAAAATTCAAATATTGATTTGCATGCTTTATAAAATATATTCATAACTTGTCCTTGATAACAGAACTCACAGGCACAGTCAAATTCAATACAGTCACAGCTGCAAAATACAGTTGAGGCCCAAAGAGTAGGTATGTGCACAAAGTACTCTCGAATGTAAACAATGCTGGCAAAATGGCGGACAGCCACTTTCCGCATCGGCGCGCGTAAGGTATTTAATTTTGAAAGTCCCGCCAAAATGTTAGCTTAATTTGATTGACTTTTGTTTGAAAACAAACTATAAAAACTTGAACTATGGCGACATCATTTTTTTTTTTTTCGAGAAATGTCTATCAAGTACCTGCTTAGCTGGGATGTGCAAGAGGTAACATTTGGGCAGGAAATAAACATGGGTATCGTATTTTGAAATTAATAAAAGATAATTTGAAATCAAGATTATTGTTTTTAGAGCATGCTCTCGAAATTTCAGAGCTTTACAGCCATTCGGACAGTTTTTCTACCATGTCCTGTCGTGCTGTTTACGTTCAGTTCAGTCATGAGCCAGTGAGGTACGCTGGTACTGAACTACTGCCGAGACTGAGACATGAGACAAGACATGAGATGAGGCATGAGACAAGCTACAAGACGAGACATGAGATGAGATATGAGATGAGACGCGAGACGAGACACAAGACAAGACACAAGACGAGACATGAGATTGGACATGAGACATGAGATGAGACATGAGACGAGACGTGAGATTGGACATGATACGAGGCATGAGACGAGATGTGAGATGAGATGCGAGACGAGACATGAGACAAGGCATGAGATGAGGAGACAAGCATGAGACGAGACGTGAGACAAGAAATGAGATTGGACATGAGATGAGACACAAGAGGAGACGAGACATGANGAGATGAGGCACGAGAGGAGATGAGACGAGGCATGAGACAAGATGAGACGAGGCATGAGACGAGATGAGACGAAGCACGAGATGAGATGAGGCATGAGAGGAGATGAGACGAGGCATGAGACAAGATGAGACGAGGCATGAGACGAGATGAGACGAGGCATGAGACGAGGCACGAGACGAGATGAGACGAGGCACGAGACGAGATGAGACGAGGCACGAGACGAGATGAGGCATGAGATGAGACGTGACATGACGATGATGATCATATTTAATATTATTAATAATATCAATTGATCACTAATATTAATCATGATTAGTTAAGAATTAATATTAATAAAAATTAATAATATTGTTATTACTAATAAATTTTATTTGTGTATTCTATTTAATTTCATATTTTTAAGCTCAATTATGGTGCCAAGACCATGAAACTGAAATTTATTCCATCCAATTCTGCCTTTAAGTTAAGTTATAGCATTCATATCTAGCAGTTGCACCCATTTCCCCCACCCATCTGCAGTCAAAGTCTCAACCAAAATGTTTTATTCTAGTTAGAATAGATAGCCTACTACATGAGCTTTCCAATGGTACTAAAAACTTTGAAATTGGCTCACAGGAAACCTACAAATGATAGTTTTTCCAAAAAAAAGTGACAGAAGTTGGTCCATTTTGGGGGTGAAATTGAAAATAGGAAAAAATTCATATCTTTTTCATTTTTCAACTTACTTCACTCATACTTATATGATATTTTTCTAAATTTTTTTCTCTTTTCAGTGGTGTAATTTTCATTACAATCAAAGGAAAAATTTGTTTTTGTGCACATACCTACTACATGACAATTTAGAGCTGCAGCCCGCAAGATTTCATACCTACCTACTGAAATTAAATGATATTAGAGCCGCAAAATTTCAGAAAAAAAAGAGCTTTCCAGCCCTAGCCAGGGCTAATTTGGGAATTTTTTTGGGCTTCTGGATTCTGGAATCCTGGTACCCTACATTCTACAAATAGCATATACCTACTGGCTACCTAGAATGTTTTTCCAAGATGCCATACAATAGCCCTTGCAAAATAACTTTAAAATGAGCCTAACGTCATTTATGAAAAGTTTCATGGTAAGGGGTTCTTAGAAAGTCAGGGGATAAAATTTGAGATTTGGCACTAAAGGTACAGCCACAGCATAAAAATGATTTTGCACTCAGCAGGTCAAAAATTTTTTTTCCACTGCTTGGAAAGTTGGAATATGGATTTATGGATCAAATAATCAGCATACAGCTAGAAATTTTTTACTGCTACAAAAACTAAGTCTAAAGACTGCTCTTCAAACAGCAGACATTCACATTGCATGATTGATGATTGCAATGAAAATGATGGCATTGGCTTGAAAGTACTGGACATTTTTTATTTTAAAAACTTGTCCACAAGCACAACTCCAATTTCAGGAACAATTATTGGGCAATTTCAAGATTGACCTGCAAATTTGCAGTTGCACCAAAGTTTTTATTGCAAATCATTTTGGCTTCAGTTTTTTCATTGATGATGATTCTTGTCTATTTACGCTTAGCAAGATTGAACGGTATTTTCCTATCAAAAAGTGAATGAGAGAAATCCGTCACAGAATGTCAATATCTCTAGCAACCTTAGCAATCCGCAGTTGCGACAGTAAATAAATGGGATTACCCATTTTGTCTCATGGGTACTCCCAACTAATTGGCTTCGATTTAATAGATACCATAATCATTACAGAATTTGTAAAATAGGATACCACATGAACTGTATATTGCTGCCAACCATTGGCGCTGCTGATGACATCTCTGCTATCATCAGGTTTCAGACAGACACTAATTTTATCCATCAAGCAATGTTCGACGGCAAATATAAAGGCATGTGCAACATTCAAACAGAGACACTAATTTTATCTATCAAGCCATGTTCGATGGCAAATATAGAAGCATGTGCAACATTGAAGAAATTGTAGTTCCGCTTAAAATCGGGCCGTAGGGCTGCTGCGCCACGCGGAATTGAGCTCCAAAATTAAGAATTCTCCTAACTGTAATATCAGCGATAGAGGTGATTTGGCCAACAGAACGCTAAAACCGTTGTATGCAATAACCGCTGTTCATTACTTTATAGTCACCTGAACAAGCTTTTAGTTCTAATTGATAGTAACTCAGACTTCCAGCAGTTTCAAGAGGGAAGTGCAAAAGTAGGAGCTTCAACGTCACGCCTCTACTATGTGTATGTAGCCCTCTATGATACTACAGGGAAATCTTCAACTTCGACAAGGCAGAACATAGCTCAGCCATTTCACGAATACTAGGACTGCACGTCTTCTTTCAATTCTGAAAGTCAACTAAACAGGATAATTACAAGTTACAGAATCCACCAACTTTATTGCTTAGTAAAGTTTAGTTTCCTGCCTCTGCTCGTTAGAGGTCTTGTGATACTTGGCCAGATGGTCAGTATGATCCTGATAAGGAGACTTGGTGAATACCGTCTCCTTCCACAAGTCTGGAGTGAGGTAAGCGTATGTCTTGGCAATTGCAGCATAGGTAGCTTTGGCAAAGTTGCCGAGAGTGGCGGTCTGGCCGCGTGCGCTGGTGTAGCAATCCTCAATACCAGCCATCTGCAGGAGCTTCTTGGGTACAGCGGCAGCAACGATGCCAGTACCGCGAGGTGCAGGAATGAGACGCACAACTACTGAGCCGCATTTGCCGGTGACCTTGCAGGGCACGGTGTGTGGAGTGGCGATCTTGTTACCCCAGTACCCACGGCGCACGGGTACGATAGAAAGTTTAGCTAGAATGATGGCACCTCTGATGGCAGTCGCTACTTCCTTGGAACATTTCACACCAAGGCCGATGTGGCAGGAATAATCACCAATGGCCACGAAAGCCTTGAAGCGGGTGCGCTGACCGGCACGAGTTTGCTTCTGGACTGGCATGATTTTCAGTACCTCATCCTTAAGCTTAGGGCCCAAGAACTTGTCGATGATTTCAGCTTCCTGTAAACACAAGATGACAGTTAACGTACGCATCAGTCGTAAAAGCATTATTTTCGTCCATATTTAGTTCTGCAAATCATGCAACAGGTTGAAGTCATTCGAACCAGTGGCACGATGATACCATTATTATAAATTCGAACATTTATGCCTCACATTTTGCCAGTCATTTTGGGAACTCGACAACATTGGTATGTGGCAGACTGCTCAAAATAAAATAAAAATACGAGCATCCAACAGACTAATTTTCATCATTAATGACAGGTAAGAAGGGACGGTTTTAAAATTAGTTTCTGATCTAAGGCGCCAATTTTTGCCTGTAAATTAATTTGTGGGAGGCTGACGGGGCGACATCGCAAGCGAGTCGCACGGGTAAAAAACCTCCGCTTTACTTTACCCAGCATTTTCATTGCACGTTCTCAGAACGTTGCAACTCGAGTAGCTGGGAGACTTAGGCTAGTGGGAATATCGCTTATCTCTCTATTTACTCAAATATAAGAGATCAAGCTGTATATCTGACACGTTTAGACAAGTGTCACGCAAGCTTCACACTGGTGTCAAATAGCAAGCATTTCAGACGTGCATAAAATCTGACTTTATTGCCAACCGAATGAACATTGTTACCAATTCGAAGAAATCTACAAATAAATCCAAATTTCCAAGCAGTGGAAAAACAAAATTTTGAGTTGCTGAGTGCAAAATCATTTTCACGCTGTGGCTGTGCCTTTAGTGCCAGATCTCAAATTTTATCCCCCGACTTTCTAAGTATTTGTGCATTTCCTCTTCAGTCAATGCAAATGCCCAAGACCAAGTGCAACCGAACTCGGTGCTGAAATCTAATGCCATTTCTCGTTATCAACATGCATGCGGTGAAGACAGCAATCCAGCGAGAAATAGACCATGACCCATTCATGCAATCTAAACAATCAGAACTTAGTCAAGAGTTGACTGAAGAATAGAGCTGTACTTCACAGGGCTAGATTAAAGACCAAAAACTTAAATTATTTTCTTAAGAGTCGATCGAAAGTGACAACTGCTAGGAATCGTTCAAGCAATAATTGACAGTTGACAGCATATCAAGAGACACGACCAATCTAGCAATACCAACCTTGATGGGTAGAGAGAAAAGATAGATTTCTTCAAGGCTCTTAATCTTGTCATCCTTGACAAGCCTGCCCAGCTTGGTGATGGGGGTCCACTCCTTCTCTCCCTCCTTGCCACGACCGCGTCCACGGCCACGGCCGCGTCCTCGACCACGACCACCGCGGCCACCACGACCGCCTTCACCGCCCCCACGGGTGCCAAAACCACCACGGAAACCTCCACGGGCTGATCCAGAGTCAGCCATTCTGTTGCAGAGACCAGTACATTAGACAAAGGTGCATACAGGTTACAGATAAATTAAATAGATAAATTAAAAACAGGAATTCGAGTAGTCCAGAGAACGAAGTATACCACACATCAAAACTGCTCCGTGTGGAACATGGTACCAAGTTTTTAAAATGTTTGCCAACTTATAGCATTAGTCTAAGTTACCAAAGTTCCTCAAATCTGACAGCTTTGCTGGAGCCTCAAATTGGCAAGCTTACTGTAGGCATTGTTTGATTGTAATACCTCTATTTGAGGGTACACATGAGCACATGCCAATCCCAGAACATGCCGACTCCAATTTTACTAATTATTGCTTCCCCTGCAACCATGAAAAATTCAATAAAATCTGGATTTGTGCGCACATACTACAGCAGCAAGGTGTATTAATGTATTCAAGCTCCAAATCAATTGAGAAAAGTCTCGTATCGGTATTGCCTCGCAGTTCACGAGTATTCTTATTTGAGGTGCACTTGCACATTATCTGAAGAAATTGTCATTGATTGAGATTGGAAGAATAATGTAATAATAATGCATAGTCCTATGTAATAATAAAGTAGTCAGTGACTACACTATCCTACTTAAAAAACTGATCCATCAAAAAAAATGCATGAAGGTATAATTTGAATTTTTAACCAAAGTTTGAGCTTTGCTCAAACAATTCCACAAGGTCAAAAATGTAATAGCCAGTTTTTCTTATTGTGGAATAAACCAAAAAAAATCAAGACATAGAAACTTTGGGCAATAATAATCTGTCTTGCCCAATAAATTATTATTTCTCAAGTATATAATACAATCAATATATCATTTGTACAATATTCAAATGAACCCTCAACATTTGGTATTATGGCTATTTCTAGTTCATTGTGTTGATGTGTTAAAAAAAAAGATTCAAAATAGAAAATTTGCTTATAGTGTTGCAAAACTAGAATAACTGTATTCATTATTTTAAATTGGAAGATTTGATTGGGACCCAAATTGAATTGTACCAGCCAGCAATTAACAGTTTCAGGAACCGCATGCAATGTATTAAAAATTTGGCATTGCAAGTCAATGAATCTTAGACTGCAGTAGTGAATAAGGCTAACCACACGGGGAAATTTCAAAGCTGTTAGTCTATTATAACTTTACCAGATAACAAATTAGGCTAGTGCAGTTTTTAAGAGGAGAGCCCCATGCATAAGTAGTAGAAGCATGGCAACCTGCTCAAAGCTCAATTGAAAATTGTCTTCAGGACCTAGTCATTAGTGGCAAACCAGAGAGCTTTTCTGACTTCCTTAACCCTTTCACGAGCAAGCTACCATGTATGATCACTTGAAATCACCTCTCAAAAAGCCCCCCAGAGCTTCCGGTTTTTTTTCTTCTCTTTTTCGAAGAGCCCTCATAACAGATCAATCACTAATTATCTGACTATCATTCTATCCATGGCAATGGATGGAACGATAGTTCATCCATTGCCCATGCATTGCATTTGTAGACCCGCAATGTCCACAAATTAAAATACGAGCATTTAAATGAAAGTTTTGACTCTTGATGACAACATTGATGCTCTTTCCACATTTTCTCAAGAGGTTGAAGTATTAATATGAATTTTACTATCTCCGGAAATTTGATTGAATTGAATCAACTTGTTATGTTACCAACTTTTCATTTGCATAAACCAAATTTTAATTATAAAGAAAAATTCTGTCTACTGACTGCATTTAAACCTTAGCGATTTAAACCTTCAAATACTCAGAATTTTGAGAAATACATAGGAATAAATATTTTGTATAATACTTCTTACTTTCTTGAAATGGTTTCAGAAATTTTGATTTCGGGATATTTCAATGCTTCATTTCGGGATATTCAAAGGCTCAGAGGAGTGTCTTGGTCAAAAAATAATTTTTTTTTGTTTTTCCATTCATTGCGCTCATTCAAAGGTCCTGAAACTGCACATCTAAGGAGCCCAGAGCTATGTTTGTGTGTTCATTCCTTCATTCATAGGAGCATTGAAAACTGAAAAGTAAAACCTACACCTTCAATCACAAATTCCAGTTTTTTTTCAATCATGGGAAGTTGGAATTTTCAGTTTATACACCTATCTTCTACAAAAAATTAGAATTAGGAAAAAATTCTTGGGGGATTGCCAGACATGATCTTTACAAATACAATGTTACCTATGTCTGCACATGTTGTGCATTGTGTGGCATGTTTAAAATGATATGTCTATCAATAAAGGTTTTTTTTTTACAAAGACACGCCCCTTAAGTTACTTTCCAAGTCCGATGAGTAGACCAGCACCAGCAAAAAATCATGGATACCAGTCATACCACCATTATCATGCAAAGAAATTGTTTTCAATTATTGAATAAAGTAGATGAGGACATTACATAACGTGCATTTCAAAATTACTTTTCAGAGACAACACTTCTAAAGAATCCAATGTCTTTATTGTTTCACATGCACAATGAATTTTTAATTCAATGTTTAAATGTTTGAAACGGTTATTTTGTACATTTTTAATATCGAAATATAATTTTCAAATATTCAATATTATTTAGGTATTCTGTCAGTTAATTCATGTATTATCTGACTTTATGCAAGTGTGCAAAATTTCTGATATGATAGGGAAAAGTATGTTAAATGTGAACTACATAATGTTAAATGTCAATGACAGTCAATTGTAATGAAACAAACAACAAGTGAAGTTATAGAAAATGGATAAATGATGACAGGTAAACAATAGATTGAATAAATTCTGAAAAATCTCTTGTTTGGTACCTACAATACTTCAGGATCAGGACAAACACAATGACAAAGGATACGTTTACTAGCTTGGTATTTGAGGTCTACCAACTCAGTAGGCCTACAAAGACAATTTTAGGCAAGTAAAAAGTAGGTAGTACGTGACTATGTGAACTTCATGCAGAGTAGGCTAGGATACCTAGCCCTACTACAGTACTAGGTACACTACAGTGACCACACAACCCCAGGGCCAGCAGCAAAGTGCTAACTGCAAACCACTTGAAACCAGCCAATTTCATGTTTCACATGCAGTAGGCATTATGAGATTAACATGCATAATTGAATTTGAATGCATCATTTGGTAAACTCAGTCAAAACATAGCAGAGGAATCTGAAAGGTTAGCCAACATCATTCTGTTAACAAAGAGTCTTAAAGAGACCATCTCTAATCTATTCATTCAGGCATTTCAGGGTATTTTTGCTTTTTGGGCAATTCAACGAGCACAATTGTTTTTCTGGGCATTTGAATTGGCATTCTTCCAATCCGAGCATTGCGACTAGGCTAAAATTTTTCAATAAGCCTCACTTTAGGATGAAACCTTCAAAGTTTAAACCATTTCTGACTTGATTGAGCGAGTTCTTGAATGTGTTCCAACTCTATCAGGCTTTCAATTGGAAAATTACCTAGACTCAATATAAACATATTCTATAGCATTGCAAATTGTAAAAACATGCAAATGAAACTAATCTCCGCAAATGAAAACAAATTCCACCGGCCAGAGTGTGGGAACGTTCGAGCAAGCGGACGCCATTAAACAATCTTCGAGCAACCATAACAAAAAAACGGGAATACCTAGCAGGAAATAAAAAGCCACGATCAACATAGGAAATTAAAACTTTCGATATTTTCATAATAAGTAGAATGATAGGAATTGTGCAGTGTTCTACGGTAATATATCCAAGTACATTGCTAAAACCTCATAAATCTTCGTCTTAGAAAGTAAAGCCAATTCCACGTGCAACACCCGGCGAACTCGACTTGCAGCCAATGTGTACTTATCACTCGCTAAAATTCATCATTGAGCTGCATTTTAACAAATTAGACTAGATATACTTACAGTTACTATTAATAGCTAATAAGAAAGGTCAAACAGTAGCTACATACCGGTAGATATCGCAAATTAAATCCTTAAACTTAAGCACTATAGCACGAGATACTTACGCAGAGGACGTTTTCTATTTGTGCCTCCAGATGTCTTCCATCCGATGACGTCAGTTTTGAGACTAGTCAAATGGTTCTAAATGAAAATATATGTGTTTAAATTGTTTACATCATTATATAGCAACTAAGTAATATATCATGATAATTTTTTTTAACAAGCTTGAAATTTATTTCTCCGAGGTTAAAAAAAGATATTTAGATTACGGTCCAACAACTGGCCAGAAACGCCAATTTCTTTACAAATCGGAACCGACGGATTCAAATTGCATGAATTTTTAAAGCACGTTGGTAATTTTTTTTCGTTCTGGTACGACTTCTTCGAACTTGTAACATTCTAAAAGCTAATTTTGAGAAATGCGAATTAGATAAGCTTCAGCACATATTTTTTTAGAACCATAATTTTAAAGCAACGCCACAATTGATTTGCTTTTAGCACCATTTAGAGGTTGGACATGAGCCCCAGTACTCAAAACCTAGTGACGCACTTCAATTGCCCTATTGAGCATGACCTAATCTCGACCTAATTAACATCACCTCTTTTGCTCTGCTTTCACTGCCGAAAGCAGCTCCTCAATTCATTATCACAATCATGTTTTCAACCAAATGTCAAAAGTAAGAGGGCAGGGTGGCCCAGGCCCAGTGCTTATAGTTTAGCAGGGCCCAGAGCACTAAGTCCACTCATTCTACTTGCAATTCCTTAGGACCATGAAAAAAATTCAATGCTGTTGTATATCGCTGCAAATTTGTTCGTGAATATTTTAATAAATATATTTATGAAACGACATCCAGATCAGACAACTCTTAGAATTTGAGATAATCAACAGATTACGATAGCGTAGTATATCATTCGGCGTTAGAGAATAGGTCTGTCGCCCATTGTTGTAATTTTCGTGACTTGTTCAAAGATCTAAAAATTGGCCTTTTGACAAAAATGTTCAACTGACGTTGGTTTACATCACCACTGGACTTTTATTAGTTCCGTAGAGTGCTAGGCCTTTCAAGACTGAACAAATGCTTTTGCATAACACTGTCTAGTATATCCTTAAACGAGTTCATACCCGAAACGTCATTAAGATCATCAGAGAGGTTTTTCCATATTTCGGTCACTCGATGCGGGAAGAAATGTTGATTGATAATAGGGTACAATATTTTGATGAACGTTGGCGTGCTTGTATGAAAATTCAGAATGATCCAAGACAACCGAAGAAACGAAGGTTTATTATAACTGCCTATGATATATAACTCTTTCACGTTGTTTGTTTATTGTTATTAATGATATGATTATACGTATAACAACCTACTTGAGATACAGAAAAAGGTGAGTCCGACTGGATACAATCTGATTCTTTGCATATTTTGTCCAAAATTGTCAAAAAATTGTTTTGTCCTTCAACAACAAAAATAAGTATAAGCAAATGAAATATGACAACAACCTAACAGTGAATCTTCCCAAACAAATAGGTAAAGAATTTTTAGCAATCATACTGACAAACCGTGTCATACAAACACATACAAGACACACATAAAAGAACAATAATATCCTTTGTGCTTACATACCTAGACCGTTCACTTTCTAAGATCGGAGCGACTCTATGTCAATCGGAAATTACGGTAAAACTTATATGCCGCTCACCACAATATTCAAAATTACTATCATTAGAGCCATTGCTTAGAACTTTTTCTCTTGAAAATAGCAGCCAAATTATTGCTTAAGCAGAAAGAAAGCCCCTTTCAGGAGCAGTCAGCTAGTCGACCCCACTGTCCACTGGTACGTATTGTGTGGGTTTAACCCTCTACCGCCTGACATCAGTAACCGGAGCAATATTGTCACAAGCCTACTACCCAAAAAGCATACTTTGCTAGTGAGCGCAAAATGACTTGCACCGATGGTTGCCGCCACGGACGACACCTTTAAAATGTTCTCTATTGCGTACAAACGTCCTCGGGTTGCTACGCTCAATAGTTAACGTATAATTCAAGTTGAAAGTTGTTCCCGGAGAACGACATACGGCGGTAGATGGATATGGGCAGTCGGGTCCGACGTTAATGTCAACCCAAGATGATAATAGAAAAAAATATAACTCATTACTCACTGCCGTGAGTGACAGAGAGCGCATTTTTTCGTCGACGAAAGCGTGAAGTCACGGACAGACGGACACGACGAGCACAATAGCGCCTTTTTTCCATAAATGAGAAAATGCGGTAATAAGAGCATTTCAGTAGTACGGGGTGAAGCATAGGGTTTTGATACAGCAACACATCATGGCCACAGCGATTAATATATTAATGTTGATCAGAAACGGGCAGATAACTTGAATTAAAGTCAGATCCTAGAACATAATTTTCTTGATTGAACGTCGGTTAATTTGAATTCAATCCCAGATTTCATTTCATTAGTTAATCTAAATAACTAAACAATGCGCTTGCTTCTAATTTCCTTGATTCAGAGTAAATTCATAACTTCAAAAACTTCCAAAATAAAAGTAGGCACTTCTCTTGTCATGCTGCAGTAAATAAAGTTTTAAGAAACACGCTTCATTACCGATGAACGAAATCGATAAAATCAACAAATAGATTTGTTTATAAGACCAGCAGATGAGTTTCCAGCCTTCGATACTCAAAGTTTTAAAGCCAAATTGACGACAGACAACATTTTAATCAGAGATTCTAATTACAAAAAAGGCAAGATTCCAGTTCACACGGCCTTAAGAATTTGAACGCTGAAGAGCGTAGAAAAAAATATTTAAATGGCACTGCATTTCATGTAGCACTAAAATAAAAAAAAAACAATTTCCAGTTCACGCGTTGCAACGTGACACGTACAAGTGACTAGCTACGGACCAAAATGACGCCCGTATTGGCCTACAACTATTGAGAAGGATCAATTTGCTTACGTATAAAAATATAAGTGCAACATCTACAGTAAATTCTAAGGCACTAGAACGTTCATGCAAGTTTAAAACATGCCACTACATCTTAAGTATGTTCAATATATATGTCGACAGAACTTTGTAATAGATCAATGATACAATAAAGAAATGACTTTAAGAACCAGCATACGCCCCAGCATTTCACAACGCTGCGCGACACAGCCCTTATACACCCTGGCTGACCGGAGGTTATTTCTGTAGCTTATTTTACTGACCTCTGTTCTTACTTCTAAGTAGTCATTTCACGTAAGTATTCCGTTTAACTTTCGGTAACATTTACTAATATTTCGTTTCAGATAGAGATAATATTGATATTCAATTAAGTGACAAAGGTTACGCTCATGCGGGATATTACTTACGTGAACCTGGCATCGTAAGAGTAAGGGTGTTGTTATCATGACACAACTTCTACCCCGACAAGATGGTTTAATCTACTCTTCTTTAAATCTATTTTATAATTAAATTATTATGGTGGAATGACGTAATTGTCAGACAATAGAATTGAACAAACTAGAATCAAATGGTCAAAGATTGAAACGTACAACTGGAACATCTTTGTAAACCATCGTGCAATTTATTTTTTATCAAACCTACCAAAATGAATTTCAGTGAAAAAATTTTATTCCAGGATTAATTGAATAATTGAAACCATTGTATCAACTTATCTATACCATACCATCTTGTCGGAGTAGAAGGATGATGTGAGAGTGACAACAGTCCGGGTCGTGGTCATAATACTTTCAAACTTAGCATGATTTCGTTATAAATTCTTTCAAAGTTGGCGCCTTTGCAGCAAAAAATCCCAGAGGGAAAATTTATGCCCCCTTCTTAACTTTTGAGCGGCCAGGGTCATGGTTTAGTAATTGAAGAATAATCAACTAATACAGCAAATATTTTAAAACATACTGGCAAGGTGGAAATATTTGACCGCTTATGTTGCAAGGCTCGCCAAACAACTGCTTAACTAACATCCCTTAGTCTTCTGGACATTCTAGAAACTAGCATAACGGTGCCTTAGTGACGTAATTAAATATCGATATATCACCTCTTCCTAGAAGGAAATATTATTTTTTTAAATAAATGTATAAGCTACCTAACTGTTTCATAATAAGATGTTAAGAGTGTAATAATATAAACTACACTCGTTCACTGACATGCACGTGACTAAAACAACCAACAAATCACCTTCTTAGTTATTTCATTTCAACAGCAGGATATAACAGAACAATACAAAACAAGTCATTAAAAAATTATCAAGGCAGTTGTTTTCTATAAATTAAACATGGCTGTTGACAGACAATTAACAAACTGACTTGATCTTGTCATTCCATGAATATTATATAAATGCGACGGTCATGTTTAACGATTAAAATACGATACGGTAAAATACGAGTACACAAACATGCTTCTCATCTAAAATAAAAGTTAACATGCAACACAGAGCGGCTGGCGGCGAGATTACATGCGGCTTAAGTAGGTAAGTAGCAATTATAATATTCCAGTTTATCTGATGCAGGCGTAGGTGCTAAGTGACTGAGATAATATTAATAAAATGGACAGTGCTTCTAACAAGTCTTGATATACTCCTGTGTCAAGACTAGGGAAGCCGAATAAAATGCCTAAAGCATTTTCGCTGGCGACACTCGAGGTTTCCTAATGTTCAATTCCCCGACAAGAAAGCAATACAAGCGTGTGTAGCGTCCCATTAAAATGCGCCTTTCAAATACTTTGTGAGAAAAAGCATCATATAAGCATCATATACCGGGTGCGTTAAAAATAATACAATTGGCATCACACCAAAAGTAAGCAGTATTAGTATGACTGATGTTTGATAGGGGATTCGTGAGGTATTTCATAGGTTGAACGACAAGCCCAGAAGCTTGTCGCCATTCCAGGACTATTTCACTTTGACAGACTTGTCTCCTCTCCTCACTTTCCAGCTGTGCATTTCTATGCTGATTTGCGCAAGGCAATACAAAAAGAACGTCAATGTTAAAGTTACAACAGGAAAACCAGTCATAAATACTCTGATTCCAATAGTCGACGCGTTATCAAGAGAAGTGAGAAATATGGATAAGGCTATTACAGACGGCATCAGAAGTAAGACGGACAACAAAGCGTGGAAACGTCGTCGCATCGTTGGAGAAAAAACTCGTGTTTCCCACTCATGATAAGCAGGTTTTGCAGCAATGCTGTCCGTACAGTTCTCCATGATGATCCCGCAGAAATTTATACCGGACCACATCATGACTTGAGGATTAACACCGTGCCACACGTATACGAACGTGAACACAAGAGCCGTGCCTTGGAGTTTGGTCATGAGACCACGTGCCGACCCTGTTACCCACGGCAGGTAAATGTGGCGAGTCATGAACAGGTAAAGGCCGTGATCGAAATCCCTCCACAATTGGGAGAAACGCCATATGAAAATGACGCATTTAGGAGGTGGAGGTGCATTGAAACCTTCAATAGAAGCTATGACTCCTGGGAACCCATACAAAACTACATATTTTATGATGAAGAAACATATAAGGAAATAAAGGAATCCACCCATGGCCCAGGAATCCATGCGGATTACAAGTTGGGGTGACCAGTGCAAAGAATGGGCATAAAAGTGATGCAGTAGGAAATTAGCTACGAGAGCCCATAAAGAAAAGCGACCAAGTTGCAGAATTAAAAGGCCTAATCGCTTTAAACTCCACGGTATATAGGATGCATTGAGGCCAGTCATAAACTCCACGTATGGCATGTAAGGACCAGTGAACAAGAAAGGCAGGTAGAGACAATATGCAAACAAGGTCAAGAGCTGCCGGCTGAGAGGCAAGTTATTTTCTGGATCCGCATCGCAAGTCTCGAGGGCGTAGCTGAGGCTCCTCAAGATGATCCATGCAACCATCACAGACACCTTGTAGTCGCCTTCAGCTATAGGGGCCATGAGCTGCTCTAGCCTCGAGGTGACGGGCTCGATGTTGAACAGCAGCAGAATGAGACACCAGGCCACCCATAGCATCTGCTTGTTGCGCGTGAGCAGCACCGTGAACACCAACGACGGTACCGCAAGACAGAGGATGAGACCAACACTGCCGAGGACGCTGTAGATCACGAGCACGCTCCAGCTGATGTACAGTGCGCACAGGTGCTGTTAAATCAAGAAAATCTCAGAATAGCATGACAAAAAACATGTAAAAGTTTATAATAAAATTAAATTAAAAAGTAAAATGTGTATTCATAGCATTCTTGGTTGAAAGTATTTGAAACCATTCAAATAATAAAAATTGAGATGTTTTGACTGTAATAGCTTCGCCAAGTTAGAATGAAACACAAGAAAACTAAGATATAAAATTAGTTGCATTGGCTTAAGCTATAATAATACTTACTCTGTGAGCATATTTGCGCACTAATGATGCAGCAAGCGAGTGCAGCAGAATGTACGGCACATAGGGCAGCAGCAAAGGAGGCCACACATACCACTCAATGTCGCTGTCATCTCGCTGCCTCCCCAAGATGCTGCCAAACGATGAACTCAGTGGCAGGTATACCATGTTCTCTGTGTTGTAACATAATGTTCATTAAAATAAGTTAATATTGTGCATTGAAGAATTAGGCAAGTGGTCTAAGTATACAGTAATAACAGGAAGATTTATACACAAGAAGGCAATGGTGGAAATTGACAGCATTATTAGCGACTGAGTTAGGAGACACAAAATTAATTATGTTGATCAATTTTTCAGCAAAAAATATTTTCATAATCGGTGTTATCTAAATGAATAAATAACGAATTATACCTGAATTAAATTATGCCTTATATATGTATGCTCTAGGAGTAGACATTAGACATCCTTACTCAATGTCTGATTGACTCCTAAAATTATCCTTTTTTAGAACATCATTTGATACAGACAAAAAATAATTCAAAATAACAAGCTGCTCTGTGACTAAGTGTTGAAGTCCTGAGAACTTTTAAAGATTAGAAACAATAAATTGGCACTGTCATTTTTACAAAAAAGGGGTTCATAAATTGAATGATTCAATAAAAATCACCACAAATCCAATTAAAATAATAATTATATACCATATAATGATGCCCAAAATTGTGGACATAATATTCCAAATATAATTTGGCTACAGTGGTGGGAACAGCCATACTGCATAGAAAGTTAATGTCCAACGACTGATTATTTTATCAGCATTTAAAATGTTTACATATATCATACTTTGACCAAAGATGTAGAACTTGTAGAGGCTGTACGATGTCATCATCATAAAGATACAAAAATAGGACAACATTTCCAAGAATGGGAGACTCGGATGAGGTGACTTGAGAGCATAGCTTCTGTGTCTCGCTTGAGTGCTGTGCTTCTGGCGCTGGTGGCAGGCAGGGTTCCTGCTGTTGACTAGGTTACCAGGCATCTCATCCTCATTTCCTTCCATCGGACTTGTGTCAACATCTGAATTGAGGGAAATTTATTAAAATCTGGCAAGTATATTTTTTTTTTTAGTTTCAGGTGATACACAAAAAAATTTAATCCGTGCAAAATGAGTCATCTTAGGAGTAGTATATATACATGAAAAAAATCCATAAAGTGTTGCTTTGCAAGCCTGAACTAAGAAAATAAAATGAATTTTCTTCAGAAATAAATTCATTAAAAAGTAAAAAATAAAGCTAAATTCTTGATCTAAAAATTTAAAAGCAAAGAATAGTCCACAAAAATTCATATCTTTATAGAAAATGTTTCGGAGTCCAGCTCCATCGTCAGTTCGTAGAATCTAGAACATACATAGAAAGTCACAAGTTAATACAATTGAAAGCACAGAACATGATCGTCCCTGGTTTATCAATTTCGTTGTGCACAATGTGCATCTGCGTACGTCGGTATGACTTCACGCAATCTTTATTCCAGGATCGCTGAGCATAAGGGCAGGAGTTGTAGGACCGGACAGTTGCTATCGCGCCCCCCTCATTCGGCTGTGCGCACTCACGCCAAACAGTGTGATGTGCCTGTTTCTGACAGTGACTTTAGGGTGTTAGCTTCTACCTCCGGTACTTCAGATTTGCGTATCTTAGAATCATTGTCCGTTTTTGAACTTAGGCCCAGTTTAAATTCAGCTGTGAGCTCCTATCCACTTGAAATTGTGAATAGATAGGTTTTTATGCCCTATTACTTGTAAATTTAGGTTCTAATTGTGTTCTGTGCTTTAAATTGTATTAACTTGTGACTTTCTATGTATGTTCTAGATTCTACGAACTGACGATGGAGCTGGACTCCGAAACGTTTTCTATAAAGATCTGAATTTTTGTGGACTATTCTTTGCTTTTAAATTTTTAGTCAACTTGCGATTTAAGCAAATAAGTGACATTAATACTTTAATTCTTGATCTAGTGTTGAAGTAAAAAAAAATGTGATAATTTTATTCAAAAACTCAAAACTTCAACTAATTCATTCCAACTCACATGTGTGTGGATTGACAGAGCAGTTATGGAAATTGTCAAACAGTTGACTCCCCTGCTGTGCATTTGTTTCTAGCTCATGAAGCAGACTTTCAAGTTCTTCTTCATTCATTTCATCTAGAGGCAATAAAAACTCTGAACCACTGCTGCTCCTGACCAGGTAGCTATTTTCTCCTTCTTGAGTATCATAATCACCAATTTCATCTTCTTCACCATTTTCAACATCAGAGTTTAGGCTGTTAGATTCATCGCTTGAGTTTGAATCTTCATATGAGCCACTGAGATCTTCATCGCCAGAATGAGGGTCTGAGTCATAGCCATTATATTTTGGAGGAGCCTTTTCTGGGTCACTATAATTATGTTGCATGATGATAAAAATGTCTGTGCAGGCAATAAAATGATTAAAACTTTTTCTGAAAAAATAGAGGCAAAGCATACATTGATACATCCATGAATTACAAGTGAAGAATCATTAAAAATGATCCTCTTACTTTAAATATGTTCCAAGAGATAAAATTCATATCATTGACACATCATTATCTATATAATATCCTTGAATTATGCTACATACATCTCAAATTTATCTAGCAACTAATTACATGAAATTTTAGCTCTGGTATAACACATAGGTACTATTACACATTCATGAAAAAAATGGCCAACCACTGCCAATGCTCCAAACCACTGTAAACTCTTCTGGAAATAGACTGATAAACTATTGAATATTACATTGCCTCTGAAGTCAGGTTAAAAGTTTCTGAAGCAACTTTTAGGATAAAAAATAGAGATATGATGATGCACCATAACTTGAATATTGCCTTCTATGGCTTAGAATTGAATTCACAGCTTAATAGCCATATCTTGGGTTCAATTATTTTCATTTTTTGACAGCTCCAAATTTGACAAATTCATGACATGAAAATTCTAGTAGCAATTCAGAAGTAGAACATTTCCAACCTGGGAATGTGGCACTGAGCTAAAAAATATTACATTGAAGTTTCAAAATTCCAAATTCAGGTAAATTATAAAAGGATATTACAATATTGGAGCTCCACTAAAAAGCAGCAGTTTTTCAACTCATCAACTGACTATCCACAGACCATGGCCCCCCAAAAAATGAAGAGTAAAGAAGAGTAAAATGCAAGTTCTACCTATATTCTTGTTGAAATATTATAGTTTTAATTCAATTATTACTTTTTAAATTGAAAATTTCTAATTTTTATACATTAATATTAAATATTTCAAGTTAAAATATTGAATAGATTCGAAAATTGAAACAATTTATTTTAAACAAAGTGCAAAGCCTTTCATTGGAATTTAAAAATATTCTCAGGCACCATACGTGGCAATTTTGTACTGCTATGGGCTTGTGTTCAAGATATTTCCTCTAGAGACATATGAACTATAAGTCCCAACTCCCATGTCCAAAAATCTCTACTAATAGCAAACACAAAGAAAAGCCTCTGCTGCATGAATTTGATTCTCAGTTCCCCTTCACTGTGTTACAGTGTTCCAGATAGCCATGACGGCAGTTTGGTAGTGGATTCTACATTGTTTATTGACAGGAGTCAATGAGTCATGGAACGCTTATTTCATCACACTCAGGCATGATCTCCTGAGCCTTGGTCAGAGTACAGTTGAATGTTGATTAATAGCAAACGGGTAAATGCTGCAAAATGCATAGAGCAGGCAGACACAGAAGAACAGAAATGATACAAATCTGAAAATCAAGCCCACACTGGTATTATTATGAATTCAATAGTGTGAAATCACAACAAATATTGAGTGATGCACACAGACACAAAATGGTGGTGGTTGCGGGTTGTAGGTGAAGTCATAGTAAGTAGGAAATAAGTATCAAAGAATTGGCGACGTTTTCAGCACCAGGACCCGACGGAATTCTGACAGTGCTGTTGAAGAAGTGTGTTGGAGCACTGAAGACTCAACACTGCTCTGGAAAGCCTCAATAACAGAGGGAATTATCCCTGAGGGTCTCAAAGTGGGACTGATAACGCCAATCCACAAAGGAGGTCTGAGGGACAGACCTCAAAATTACAGACCTGTGACCTTGACCTCACATGTGATCAAGGTTTTTGAGAAGGTAGTGGTCAGGAGGCTTGTCCGGTATATGGAAAAGGCTGACCTGTACAATAACGGACAACATGGCTTCCGGCGTAATCGTTCCTGTTTGTCGCAGTTACTGGAGCACCATCACCGTCTGGTGGCCCAGCTGGAGGAGGGAGCTGGTGTGGACGTGGTATACCTAGACTTTGCTAAAGCTTTTGACAAAGTTGACCATGGGGTGCTCTTTAGAAAGCTGAGGCTGTTGGGGGTAGGAGGAAGCCTGTTAAGGTGGATCCACAACTTCCTTACAGATAGAGTACAAGCTGTCGCAATTGGAAACTTGAAATCGAGAGAAGCGAAGGTGAAAAGCGGAGTTCCGCAGGGCTCAGTGCTTGGACCGATCCTCTTCCTCATCCACATTGCCAATATTGACTCAGAACTCACCCACGCATCTACATC